AAGTTTTAAACAACTCGACTTTCAAGATCTACATGTGCCGATGTTTCCGTTTATCAACGTCATATTTTAAGATCTGTGCAAGAACTCAGCTAACAGATGTTTCCGCATATAAATACTATCTTCAAGTTTTGTACACCAAAAAACTTTTCAAATAAAATAATGACTTTCATAAAATACTGTTTACTGTAAACATAGGCAAATTACGTTAACATACTAGCATGTACAATCTGCGCCTTAAAGTGAATGAAAATAGGAGTAATAAGTAAATACCATGAAACTTTGTATATAATGCTTGTAAAATAATTTGTAATAGTAATAATATACATCTCAATAAATGGTGCAGTCTTTTTTTTTCTAAGTCAGATTATTTGAATGTGGGTCGAGGTCTTGGAACACCTACTTGCAAACTTGGATAGCCATAGCGTGTTTTGCTAGCATATACTCCGAATTGTTGATATCACGAGGAAAGGGTTGGTGGAGGAGAAAGGTAGATAACTGTTGTCTGACTAAGCTGGTGTGGAAGTTAATTTTAGGCATTTATGAGAAAAGTGTTCACGCATGTCGTGGGGGCATTTTACCGCCAACTCTTGTGGTTCATCAGCCGTAAGCTATCGTAGGCTTCCTTGCCCCAGAATGATAAGAAATGTGACCTACAACGATGATTAGGTGAAGAAAAAAACTTGTTTGAGCGACGAATCGTTGTCTTTATACATTATAAGAACAACACGGTTTAGAACGTGTATCCCAGTTTCTTACATCACATATCCCTTATTTCTGCTGAATTGAATATACCATGTAATACAAAATGTTTGTCCTGTTTAAGAACGAGACATATTACAGAAGTCGTGTCTGTATAAACTTCGAGACCTATTACAGAAGTCGTGTCTGTATAAACTTCGGGACCTATTACAGAAGTCGTGTCTGTATAAACTTCGAGACCTATTACAGAAGTCTGTCTGTATAAACTTTGGGACCTATTACAGAAGAGGTCTCTGTATGAGTTTAAGAGATCCGTTACATAAGAAGTCTCTTTTTTGCTTCCAGATTTCCCAGTGTAAATACATTAGAACTTAAACTAAAATAGAATATATTCCACATGATTTCGTATCAAATAATACAGTTGGACAACAGTCCAATAAAGTTATTGCACGAAACGGAAATTCCGTAATTTTGTTCTATTTTTAATTCTTTACTCTAACTTATTAATTAGATTTTGACTTTTTTTTCACAAACTTCATGTTAAATGTTGATAACACATTTGATAAGTCAATCTTTTAAAAATATAAATTAAATAGGAACTCATTATTTATTGTCTTTGTACAATAGTTACATTTTTAATAATTTAAATTAAAAAGGAATTCATTATTTATAGGCTTAAGCACCATTAATAGTTTCTCTACCAATACTCGACATTTACGTAGATCTAACTTGAACAAACATGTTATTCCAGTCGATATTACAGAAAAATAAAGGGAAGTGGACAAGTTTACTACATCTACAAAAGAAAAGGACCGCAGAGATAAGAAGCGACATCTGACGTAATTATGTATAACTAACTGCATTACTCTGCGTTTAGGATTAGTAAAGTAAACGGCTGAGTCTAAGAACGTTTATCAAGAATTGAATGTTTATTTTTAACAAAGCCAAAGATAGCTA